AATCTGAAAAGGCTCAAGTTATTCTTTCTTGAAAATGTTATTTCTACCAAAGTTATTTTTCACCACCTCAATTTGAGCACCGTACATAGAATTCAATGCTAAATTTTCCGTTTTGTGTATATCGCCTTGCCAGACTGCCTCCGGTCTCATTGTCAAGCCAAACAAGCTTCCCATTCTCATGGGATTGCTTAATTCGTACTAGCCCTTCCTGAAAGTGTAAAACTCGTTTCTTGAACATCGGCTGAATTAGCCAAGTTGTACTATTGTCTATTAGTAGGACATTCGAATGAGAACTACGACTACTAAGTATTTCATCAAAAATTTAAAGGGTGCTAGAATTGGGCACCAAGCTCCTTTTTAGGCTAAAAGGAGTTCCCTGGAACCATGCCAACATGGTAAATTGAAGCTGCATCAGCGTAGCACCTTGAGGCGGACAATGCTGACGTGGGGTTGCATTGAGATCATGCCCATAATGGAGCAGGTGGAGATTAGCATTAGCTCGCATCGTTTGACACACGGGATTGGCGTTTTGAGGCTTCCTGGGTGAACTCACGACGGTAAACATGGCATGCTGACCGCTGATGCGAGTATGATGCTCCACAACGTCGCTAATTATCCGCATTACTTTGCTTTCATCGTCCCGCTGCCGCTGTCGCTAATTAGCTAACTGCTTTCGGTATCATGTACAACAACACTGAACTGATGTCCTTTATGGGTGCTTTATGGTTGTCATTAGTGGACTGCGGGCTAATTAGCAGTAATGTTTCAGGTATTGAACGTATCAACGAATTGGATCTCAAATCTTCCGTTCGCCGATGCTTCATGTGTTGCAAATCAGCTGATTATTGTTGATTTTTCGTACAATCGTCTGGAAAGTCTCGGAGCAGAGCTCCATGTGCTGCCATCGGTCCGACAGCTTTCGCTGTCGCATAATCGACTGTCATCAATAGAAAAGGACTCGTTGCTGAAATGCCCGTTACTGCAACAACTTGAGCTGAATAATAATTTCTTGGAGGATATTCAAAGCCTTCCAGGTACCACTTTTATAGTTATCTGCTTTCGGTTGCAATTCCTACTTCAATTTTCCCCATCATATTTGCGTTATCCTTTCAGAAACTCTCATACACATAAATTTGGCTTCAAACCAGTTCTCAGCTATCCCGTCGTCAGTAGCAGTACTCAAACATCTTGTTTCACTCAACATTTCCTACAACTCCATAGATGAAAGCTCTCCGAATATTTGTTGTTAGTTTACTGCATATTATGTCGTGAAGACGCCTGAACCCCGCTGATTTCTTTCCGTTACAGTATCGAGTGTATTGGAGTTTCTTGACCTATCGGGTAACCGCATCAAGGCTTTCCCTTCACGGTTGTTCGAAAATTCAACGGCTTCAATGGTGCATCTTCATCTAGAAAACAATATGATCACGGATTTGAAGCCGTTCGAGCTGGTGAACTTTACTCGTCTTCAAACGGTAAGTTTTTCAGAGTCTTCTCAGTGTTTACGCGCATGCATTCATGAGGTAATGTCCGCGAATTCTTTACGGTGTTTTCACCCAAGTACGTGTGTGTATGGTTCGGGGTGCGCACGGTGTCAATTGCATATATTGCGTGGGTACGAGTGCGGTTTGGCCTTGAGCGACACTGTCAACAATGTACTTCGTGTGAATAGTGAACAGTTGCCGTTTAAGAGTGAAATGAGTGCGTGGGGTTTGGGCGCAGGATTCACTTTCTTATGGCCCGTGAAGGGACTGTGGGTGCCCTTGTTGTACCTTGGCCAATAATTAGGGTTATCTTTGGCTAGAATAACAGTACTTAGGCAATGAAAGTTTGAAAGCGGTTGAAAGTTACGGTAGGATCTCACACTATGTAGGTGAGAAATTTTGAGAATATGTGTTCCTTTGGGCCTTGTACGTTACTGGGAATATTTCTGTTACCATCAAAGGAAGGCAGGACGAAGTACTCTATTGATCAATCCCTTTTCGGGTGCGCCAAGTATGACGGTTTCATTCGGGATCTTAGTGACACTTACTTGCGGGGACGAAACGAATGGTGTGGTACTTATTAAGCAACCCATGAGAAATGGGGAAGTTGGCTGGGTTAGATGGCGGACGACTGAACTGATTCTCAGACCACGCTTGGCAAGCGGCGCCACATATCTTTGCACCATGTTTACCCTCTTTTCTGGCAGTCTTCCCAATCTGCCTCTTTTTATTTTTATAAAATCAAGAAGTCTTCCCAGGGAATTTTTTGTGATGGGCTGATTTTTACTGTTCCTAAAGCGTTGTTCTTGGACTCTTGGGTTTCCCTCATGTCTCTTTTGACAGCTTACCTTTCTTGGAATATGGGCAGATCTAAGTTGCTCACAAATTTATATGCAGACACGCGAGTTTATTTGTTTGTCGTTGTTCTTTGCGTGCGTTCTGGAAAGATGTGACCTTCTTGACTCTTAGTACATTCTGGCATTGTTTCGCTCCCGGCTCATCGCGTGTGTACAATAGAAATGGACACTGAGTCTGTGCAGGTCAAGTTGCCAGTCTCCAGCAGCGAAAACCTGTAATTAGCGCAAAATGCGTCATTGAGATGGTTGCAGGGTGGCAAATTATTCTGACACCTCTATTAGACTGGTCATCTGAGATGGTAGGTTCGGTAATGAATAGCAAGAAGGTCATGGGTTGTACAAGTAGTTGTGAAGCACATGCAGTTGAAGTACGTCGTAGCTCTCGACGAATGTTTGCGTTTTGTCGCGGGCTGTGCGTCGAACCTCATAACAGGGCATTGCATAAGCGCTTGACCACACCGTGTTGAGTGACAACGAACAAACACATGGCGTTCGATTGAGGGTTTCGCCGTCATCTGGCGGAATTTGGATTGCGGATCAGTGGGTGTGCATTGTAGGTGACGGAAGAGTTTATGGAGGTAATTTCAGCTGAATCTGGTCTCGAACCGCCTCGAACGACTTCGAGATGATGTGTTCGCTGCGCTTCATGAATTGTCATCTCTTGGACTGGCGAATAATTCTATCGAGCTGTTGGAGCCGGCTGTCTTCGCGGACCTGGCTATTGGTAATGATTTTATAATATCATATCATCTTCTATGATAGATTTCCACAACAAACATTTATAGTGTACGAGTTAATATAAATTTCATTAAAACTCTAATCAGGAAAGAAACGGTATTTTGTTAAAGGGCCAATACCACATAAGTCGTTCGCTGTCTACAAAGAAAACGTTTATAAGTTGTTTCCCCGCTATATTACCAGAACGGAAACTTCTCCACATAACAGTTAGGTATTCAGTTTAGCGAGAGGTCATGTTTGTTTTTCTGAAGCGAAAAAATCTTATTTGGTGAGTTTTTAGCAGGTGTTGGGGGTGGAGGGGGAAAGAAATTTCTGCAGTATTTGAGAAGTTCGGAAAAATTCGCAATTCTTGCCTTGAGTTACGTTCCCCTTCCCCTCCCTCTTTAGTCTGTTTTAGAGGTGCTCAGCGTGTATTTTGTTGTGGAGTACATTAGTCGAAGAACTT